GTGCATGGCAATGAAAAATGCAAGAACTACTAGTACGTTTGGTGTCAATGCCTTCCTAGGTTCGTGCTAAGGCACCGCCGTTTTATTTACTGTTGCTTTTGCACCGTCAGTGCAAACATCAACACGGTTATTCCAGGATCAACCACTGGATTCAGAAAGACTATTCAACACTGCACATTTCACTTGCATTACTGCTCATCATTCACATACAAGGAGATCTTTGAACAGTGGGTGCCGATGCTGTCAAATAGAACCAAAACTACATGTCCAGCAATGTCTGTAGATTTGAGCATGTGCAAGGCAAAAGTACAACCGTGCAGAGGAGCTGTTAATAGAGTCTTCATGTTTGCAGCGACATCTATTTTTATTTATTTATTTGTTTGTTTGCCTATTTATTTTGAGAGAGAACGAGAGGGGAGCAGAGGGGGAGAGAGAATCTGAAGCAGGCTCTATGCTCAGCATGGGGCCCGATGCAGGGCTCCGTCTCACGACCATGAGTTCATGACCTCAGCCCAAATCAAGAGTCAGATGCTTAACTGACTGAGTCACCCAGGAGCCCCTGCAGCTACATCTTTAATTCAACAAGTCATTTTATTATTGGAAAGTGCTAGAATTTGTTTACTGACTTTTCAACCAGTGGAGATTGTTGCAAACAGGACGTTTTGGTCTTAGACTTCAGGACATGTATTCAACTGTGGCAACTTATTAGTCTGTAGGCTTTGTGTGCATTTCCGTAGCCAGCACAATGTGATAACCTACTCTATATGATGCTTCACTGATTTTTTCGTTAGTAGTTTGAAAAGCTATAACAAAGAATTTTTTTGACTTTTAAAGAGCTTACCACATACACGTTCAAAATTTTGTTCCTTTTTCTTTAAACTGTGAACCATGGGTCTTAAGATGCCTCAACTTAGCAGGCACCGTAATACTGTTTTAAAAATGTGCACCTCACTATCAAGAAGCATGCATTGCTATTTCTTTCTGAGATTTATATCTCAGGTGTTATCCTCTGTCTCCATTGCATCCTCTACTTGGTGACAGCTACTTTGGGCATGATTCCATACAACTTGTGGTTTCGGGTCTTAGCTCTTCCCTGATTTACTGAAAATAGAATCTGTGTTTTTGTTACCTGTGTTTTGTGTTGTTTGGGATGATTTCCAGGAGAAGGATACATGCCAATAGTATAAGGATAAGGATACATTTGCTGGAAGTCACCACAAAATTATTTTATTGTATTATAACATAAATATGGAAAATGACACAAATCATGAAGATACAACTTGATTCAACATCCTAAAGGAAATACCTATACAACCATCATGGGTCAAAAATAGAACAAATCCAATAATCCAGAAGTCTACATCATCCCCCCTACCATTGCCTACCAACCCTCTTTTTTTCCAGCTTTATTGAGATATAATTGACATGTAACATTGTGTAAGTTTAATGTATACCATGTAATGATTTATACATGTACACATTATGGATGATTACCACAGTAAGGTTAACACATCTTAACCTTCCTGCTTTCTAATTTATAACAGATGGATTAGTTTTGCCAGCTTTTGATTCTGTGTAAGTGAAATTATATAGTCTATATTCTTCTGTCTCTGTCTTCTTTCGTTCAACACTATATTTGTGTAGTTCATTCTTGATGGACATAATAACAATTCATTATCCATTCTACTGTTGATAAACATTTGGGGGTTATCATGAACAATGCTTCCATGAATATGCTTGTACATTACATTTTTGTGCACAAAGCACACATTTAAAAATTTTCTTAATTAATTAATTAATTAAATTTAGTTTGTTTATTTTTGAAAGAGAGAATGAGAGACAAAGTGCAAGCGGGGGAGGGGCAGAGAAAGAGGGAGACACAGAATCCAAGGCAGGCTCCAGGCTCTGAGCTGTCTGCACAGAGCCCAATACGGGGCTCAAACTCATGAACTGCGAGATCATGACCAGAGCCAAAGTCAGGCACTTAACTGACTGCCTGTGCCAGGCATCCCTGTACACATTTTTATGTATATACCAAGGAGTAGAACTGCTGGTTAATAGATATGTATTTTTTCAACTTTAGTGAATACTACCAAGAAGTTTCCCAAAGGGGTTTGAATTTGAAGTTTACCCTGATGACTACAATTGTAGGGCACTATTATATACAGTATTGGCTTTTGCTTAGTCTTTTTGGGAACTCCTTATTCAAGAATAATGCCCAGTTTCCGTGGGGGTTTTCAGTCTTTCTTTTTAGAAATATGGAGAGATTCTGGATATGACCATTTTATAGATTATATGTATTGGAAATATCTTTTACCCCTCCTGTGTTTCGCCTTTTCATTCTGCTAGTGGTATCTTTTGATTATACAAAGTTCATAATTTTAATGTCGTCCAATTTATAAATGTTTTCTTTTATGGTTTCTACTTTATGTGTTCAGTTTTAGAAATCTTTTTATTTGCAAAAATTATAAAGATACCCTCCTATCTTAACCATCTTTTTTTTTTATTTACTTTTCACATATAGATCTGTAATTCACCTAGAATCTATTCTTGTGTATGGTGTGAGGCCAAAGTCAAGATTAATTTTTTTTCCATATGATATACAATTAACCCGGAATCATGTATTGAGGAGACAAACCTCCTTCACAACATTGCTGCATCACATCTGTTGTAAATCAAGCGCCCAAATATGTGGAGTGAGAGAGAAAGGGAGAGGGAAAGGCAGAAAGAGAGCAAGTTGAGAGAATCAGTATGTTCTTATATTTATTTCATCAAAGAAATAAATATAAGAATATTTTGCAAGACCAAAAGGAGAGACGAGGGTTCACACCAAAAAGGCGTTCTATGTTCCAAAAGCAGTGTGAATGAAAAGATCTAGGCCTAGATGCAAAATGAAATTTTAAATCACCACAAATAATGAGGAGTTCATTAAAACATTACAGAATAGGGAAGATGGTCAAATACAGAGTAATAAACATCTGACTAGCATCGGGCTTTGCACCAGCAATGACAGACACTAGAAAGCAGTAGAACAAAGCCTTTATAGATTTTAGGAAAAATGAGCTGGATAGTCAGTCAAGCATGAGGGCCTTGTAAGGACTCAAATGGTAGGCGCCCCTCTTTTGGGGAACTTTTTAAAAGTAAGTTACTAGCAAGTGTACCTTAGCACACAAGGTTGCAAACAAAAAAATTTATGTGAGATAGAAACAAAAGAAGGAAGGAAGGCAGGAAAGAAGGAAGGAAATGGGATTAGAGAAAGGTTTACATAGTACTTCAAAAGTACTGAGAATATTGTTTGATAAACTGGGTGGTAAGTACATGGGGGTTCATCTTATTATTCAAGGAAACATACATAGACCATTAACCATAAAAAATTCTGTTCATCTTTCCTCCCTTCCTTCCCAGAGGCAACCACAACCCTAATAAAATACTAATATATATATATATATATATATATATATATATATATATATATATATCTGTGTGTGTGTGTGTGTGTGTGTGTACATAAATAATACAAAATATTTCATTGGTTTTTTTTTCAAATGTATGCACATGGTAGTATACTCTATGTATCACCTGCTTCTTAACTTGGTATACATTGTGAAGATCAACCCAGGAGCACCCTCATCATGCCCATTTTAAAGATGAGAAGATTAAAACCCAGGAAGTCAAAAACCCAGAGAGACCTAAGGAGCAGAGAGGGTCAAATCACACAGTAGTGAGAAGTACATCTGGAACTTGAACTGAGATACTACACAATACTTTTTGCTCTATCAATCTAATTCATTCATTTTTCATGCCATCAAATGAATAGACTTCTGTTCATTTTTCCAATTTCCATTTTTTTTGATATTACAACAATGTTGTCATGAATGTCTTACACAAGAGTCCTCGTACACTTACATGAGTATCCACATTTTCAGTTGTAATAGATCCTGCCAAACTGCTTTCCCAAGAAGTTGCCCTCGCAAGTCGTATATAAGAATCCTGGTTTCCTCACACCGTTATCAATATTTATTATTTCAGATTTTAATATCTATCAACTACCGAGGGAGAGATGGGAAATGGTATTTCACTTTAATTTGCATTTTTCTGATTTTTAGTGATGTTAAAATTTTGGCTATTTGAGTCTCCTTTTCTAGGAGTTGACTGCTGAATTTCTTTGCCCACTTTTCTGTTGGACTCTTTGATTTTTTTTTTAATTGATTGGTGCAAGGTGCTATACATATTTGAGAAAAAAACAGATCATTTTTAAAATGTTTATTTATTTATTTTGGGAGAGAGAGAGAGAAACTGTGTGTGTGTGTGCATGTACATGCATGCACGTGCCACATGGGGGCAGCGAGAGAGGGTGAGAGAAAAAAGAATCCCAAGCAGGCTCTGCATTGTCAGCTGAGAGCCCAAAGAGGGCTCAATCTCATGAACTATGATATCATGACCTGAACCAAAATCAAGAGTGGGACACTTAACTGACTGAGCCACTCAGGTGTCCCAAGAAAAACAATTCATACATGTTATAAATATTTTTTCTCAGTCAATGGTTTGTCTTGTAACTTTGCATTTGGTGTCTTTTATGATACAAAAATGTTGTTTTTTTTTTTTTTTTTTTTTTTTTTAACATTTTTATTTTTACTTTTTTGGGAGCTGAGAAACAGAGCATGAACGGGGAGGGGTAGTAGAGAGATATTGTGAATCGGAAATAGGCTCAGGCTCTGAGCCATCAGCCCAGAGTCTCTTCACGCCGGGCTCGGAACTCAGGAATCAAGCGAGATCGTGGACCTGGCTGAAGTCGGACGCGAACCGACCACACCAGGCTTCCCAAAATGTTTTTAATGGGAATGTAGTCCCATGCCACACCCTTTCCCAATGCAGTTCTTTTTTTTTTTTTTTTTTTTTTTACATATGGTTATTTTTCAAGGAAAGCATAGTATTTGTCTTAAAAACTTTTTTCACTTATTATTATTATTATTATTATTATTATTATTATTTACTTGCAGATAACTACCAAGTGGTGTTCCAGACTGCCTGTACATTTTCTTATCAAAATGATGGCATGTGTGACAACACAGATGCTAGAAAAAAGACTCCGACTAAAGTGGATATTACGTGGATTCTTCTACTGCGCTACTATATTCATCTGCAAAGGATTAATAATATGAGCAAATTGCTAGGTAGGTTTTTGATGTGTTAAGAAAGAACACATTCCTTTCCAGTTCTTGTTCAAGTCGTGTTTCTTAGAATTGTAAAGTACTTTTGACATCTTTTTGAGTGAACTCTCATCAGAAGATGAAAATTTTAGCGGATCTTAAGCTGGGATACACAGATCTTTGGGCAGAATAGTATTCCAATGTAACTGACTTCCTTTGACATTCTATGTATTTTATTTATTTGATGTATTTAAAAATGTTATTATAAAGAGGCATCCAGGGGCTTCCCAAGAGTGCCAATGTGGCCCATGGCTCAAAACAGTCGAGAATCAGAGTGATAGTAATGTGACAGCTTAGGAAATGAACACGATAAAATTTTGGCTTTAAGGAGAGAATGTTTCCGTATTCAGTATGTACAAGAGAAGAGATTCATGCTTCAGATAGGATACTTAACTTCATTGCACTGTTTTGTTTAGTTTTTTTGTTGTTGTTGTATCATCTAATGCTGTCAGAAGAGCATCCAGAAAAACTGGTATAATCTACTTCACGTCAGTCCTTATTGTGTTTGTGACAATGTATGTTGTGTTTTTTCTGTGGCAATGACATTGGTGATTTAGTGTTGTTCATCAGCGCAAACAGGCGGAAAAGACAATTTGACCCATGTCAGGGCCCAGGGATGGAGGAGCCAGCAGAGCAAATAGGCTGCCTCGGAGTGTCTCAGCACAGTTGTCAGGGACTAGCAGTGGGATAGAAAAGCACCCAGGAAGTGTCAGGGGAGTGCATCACAAGAGGGGCAAGAGGAAGAGAAGTTCAGTGACAAAGGATGCGGAAGTGAGCCAGTGCAGCACACCCTGGCAACGCCTGCCCCACATCAGCCCGGCTCACCTCTGAATTCACCTGCTGGCCCTTGCCACATCCAGCACCCACATTTTACTGCTTTTCTGCTCTGGGCTTTTTCTGAACCTACTGAGACTCGCCCAGCCCACTATCAGGACAGCCCAGAGTGCCGGGGATTCCGCACGTCTGGGAGTAACCTTCAACTAATGAGGTAGGGAATGGTAGCAACCGTTCCAGCTTCCCAGTCCCAGACAATTCTACATGTTATTTTCCAGAAGGCCCTCAGCAGGACTGAGCCCTCATTGTCCACAACTGCAGCCCATTCATTAACTTACTCTCATTGGCTCTTTTCTCCATCACACTTTGTTTGTTCTTTCACTTATGCTCCTTGAGATCACTTGTCAAATAAATTGCACACAACTCAATTCTTGCTTTAAGATCTGTTTTTGAAGTGAGTCCCAAAGAAGACAACTAGATAGAATGTTTTCGCATTGTCAAGCCTTAGAACTTCAAGCAATATCCTCACACCCTTCTGAGATTTTCTTTCATTCCTATGGCAAGAAGCAATCCCATTAGCATGTAAGCTTAAAAGTGGAGGAATTACATTGGCAGCCACTAGCTGAGGTGATGTGATTTCCAGGGATAGTGGCTAATGAGCAAATACCAACAATACTGAGACTATTGTATTATCTAATGCGACTCTACATTATTTTTCTTCCCTAAGCATCTCCAAAGCCAGGATCTGGAATTTCTTTGCCAGATGATACACTTCTCACATCCCTTTTCAACTCTGGGCTGATATTGCGCCAAAAGGAAATGCATTTTTTCCTTAAAAGATTTTTACAGCTGTATTCTTCCTCTTGTATTGATGAATTTCCAAAAGAACTATGTCAAGGAGTGGAAACTACATTTTTCTCAGAAAAAACCTTATATAACTCAGTCAAGGTACTGTTTTCAAACATTATGTATTTTTATAAAACTTCTTGGAATCACTGTTATATTTCTGAAGGAAGCACATTTGAGAAAGTTTAAGTGGGCACAGTGTATTGTAAATTTCCAATATGTATTTGTGAAATGAATAAAGTAAGTCATTTGCATAGAATTCTTTCCAAACAAAAAATATCAGTCATTTATTTTCAATTATCTTGACTTTGGACTTCACCATATAGTGCCTCCATTTTTGTGATTATACACTTGCCCGTACCAGACATGTCCATATGTCTGTCCCAGAGAAGTGACCTGAAAGTGTTATTTCTTCCAAATTGAGAACCTAAAGTAAAGCTAGGTTATTGGGTAGACAATAATAATTTTTTTAAGTTTATTTATTTATTTTGAGAGAGAGAGAGAGAATGGGGTAGGGGCAGGGAGAGAGGGAGAGAGAATCTTAGGCAGGCTCTGCACTGTCATAGTGGAGCCCAATATGGGCTCAAACCCACAAACCATGAGAATATGACCTGAGCCGAAACCAAGAGGTAGATGCTTAACCAACTAAGCCACCCAGGCACCCCCAGGGGAGGATTTTTTAACGTTTATTTATTTTTGGGACAGAGAGAGACAGAGCATGAACGGGGGAGGGGCAGAGAGAGAGGGAGACACAGAATCGGAAACAGGCTCCAGGCTCTGAGCCATCAGCCCAGAGCCCGACGCGGGGCTCGAACTCACGGACCGCGAGATCGTGACCTGGCTGAAGTCGGACGCTCAACCGACTGCGCCACCCAGGCGCCCCTTAAATTAGTTTCCAGATACTGGGGTATTGGCATGCCCAATACTCAACACCCCTGTTTCCTCCCAGATTATAAATCACTTGAAAAATAAAAGAGTAAGAGCTTGAGATTAAAAAATACCTATTCTTATGAGTCATAAAGTTGATATTGTTGGATGTGGTTTATATTTACTGGTAAGTGGCCTTCCTAATAGTGAATAGGAAAGTAGACAGATTTTACCAATCCAGCTACATTTGTTTGTTTGGTTGGTTGATTTGGTCATTACAGGCCCCCTTAAAATCTGTGTGGACACATACCCCTTTAAAATCTGTTGCATGAAGGAGCAGAGAACATTCACTCCCTATAAACCATTCTCTCCCAAGAATAACCAGCATAACTGTGCATATCCAAAATTTCTTTTTTCCCAAATTCACCGGTCAAGTAGCTCTCCAGGGGAGGAGAGTGACAGGAGGCAGAAAGGCCAGGAACATACTGTTAATGTCCAGCCCTCTGCAGGGAAGGAAGCAACAGGAGTGGGATGAAATCATTTCCATCGAACACCAGATCCTGCTTCACCCCTCGGTAAACTGTGACTACATTTGAGGATTACTGCCATGTGTCCCAGATGCCTCCGGTGTTTTGGCATAGAAGGCAGAGAATGAGAAGGTTGAGAACTACAGTTTTAGTGAATGTGTTCTTGTGAATATTTTGTAAGAGTCTGGAAAATAATAGGTGTGGCTTCTTAAATATTGTCTGAAAGGGGCTCTACTTGAGTACTTTACCAGTAAGGGCAGCCCACAAGTTCCCATTTCCTAAGCATGATGCTCCAAGCATACAACCTTGAATACATTGTAAGTACACGTGACCTGTCTAATGGCAGCAGTGTTATCAAAGATTGTTGTACCCTGTTTGCTTGTCCTTTTTTTTTTTTTTTTAAATATAATTAGTGTAACATTCTCCCAGAATAATCAGCTCTGGAGATCATTGTCACTTGCCTGACAGGTGCAGGCCACCTAATCATGTGTTCGTTTCACTGGGGTAGACAGCTAACGAGCATAGAGCCTTTGGATTTAAAAAAAAATAAACTGCAAGCTTGGCTGATTTTTATAATAGCATTTTTGAGCTTTTAATCACTCAGGAGGCTATTTCAATCAAACTCTTCCCATAATTTGATACTTAATCCCGCTTTTCCTCCCCCCAAAAAGTAGGTATCTTTCCAGAGTGATCATTGCTAGGTGACATGCTTCTCAGTTGTACATGTCTACATGTTGTAAGGTCTATTGACACTTTGTGATGGCAAAACAAAGGTGCCAAACAAATTACATTAAAAATTCCAAGAAAAAAGAATATGATTAAAATTATGCACAATGCTAAGTTATTCACATTTAGACTGTGTGGTAAGGTCAAATATTTGACTAGTAAAGTGATTTGTTGTTTACGGGACTGTGGCAAACAAGAGTTCTCCTGATAGGGCTTTCGTTCCTTTCAAAGAAAAGATCAGACATATCAAAAATATTCAGTGTAGGGGCGCCTGGGTGGCGCAGTCGGTTAAGCGTCCGACTTCAGCCAGGTCACGATCTCGCGGTCCGTGAGTTCGAGCCCCGCGTCAGGCTCTTGGCTGATGGCTCAGAGCCTGAAGCCTGTTTCCGATTCTGTGTCTCCCTCTCTCTCTGCCCCCTCCCCCATTCATGCTCTGTCTCTCTCTGTCCCAAAAATAAATAAACGTTGAAAAAAAATTTAAAAAAAATATTCAGTGTATAGTCCATCAGTTAGCATATATAATTAATTCCATGAGCAACTAGATTTTATTTTTTTAAAGATAATGGAAAATTAAATGCCTATCTTGACATTGACTTTTGTTATAGTTTACCATTATTAGACCATCATGTTGGTAAATGCTATGTATTGAAACAGTAAATATTGCTTATTAGTTTTCTCTGTTTAGTTACTAAATATGAATTCTTTGCTAAAATAGTTGTCTGTTAAATAGTTGTACCTCTGAAGAGTACTCAGATATGAAAAAAATATGAGAAATTGTTTTTTGAAACAATTACCTAATTTTTTGGTGAACTGCCTGACAGAATTAATGTTAGTTTAGCACTTTTAAATGATTATTCAAACTTAACAGTCTTCTTTATTGGTCATTTTGGTCATGCTTTTAGTATCATAGTGCCAACAGGTGAGGATTCTGGCTTATAATATCCTTTTATGATAGTCTCTAGACATTTCTGAAAAGTTTGCATCTTTAATATTACCTTTCAGTCATGACATATTTTTTCTTTTATCAGTAGACAACTTGAAAGGTCAGTGTCTTTATTTCTCTTTTTATTTTATTTTGAAGACTTTCATTGACAGTCTTATATCTTGAATAAGCTCATAAATAATGGGAAGTACAAAGCCTTATGGAAATACCAGGCATTTCTTACTGCCTACTGACATGTTCCTCTTGGTCAACAAGCCTTAAGATACTTTAGATGTCAAAAGTTAAGTAGAATGATTGCTTCCCAGCTACCATGCTATCACCTTGGGCGAAACAAGTTAATTTTGAAAATAGTCTGCACTCCATTAAAGAGGGTCCTTTTTATATATGAGGTGTTATTATCACTAATATCTCTCTGGCTAGACTGTTATTTTTTTTAGTAGCAACTCCGCTACTTCCAAAAAAAAATGAAATAATTTATGATATTGCCAATTGCATTCTCCACATTCATCTTCCTTGAAAACTCCTGTTTCAGGAGTTTCATCAAAGAAGGTAGGCCCAGATTCACCAAGACTGAATTTACAAATCAGCCACATTCGTGTAAAGAGAGAATGAGAGCAATTGATTTTATTTTACAGTAAAAACTGTCTTATTTTGCATATGGTATTATAGAAGAAAATGCTATTGGAAAGTAGATATTAAGTTATAATCACACGCTCAGTTTATTCACCACTGAATAGATGAGAAAAGTAGATGTTCTAAGAATCTAAGGTGATCTTGAGACTGAAATGATAGTATTGACATTTTCCTCTCTAGATCTTTCCTTGGGGAGACTCACCAAAAATGGAAGACATTTGTTGAGTCCCATAGGTTTTGAAGCATATTTTTCTGTAGGAGAATCTTTTCTGTGGTAATTAAGGACAGTATTTGTTTGTTTGTTTAACATTTTTATTTTTAAGTAATCTCTACACTCAATTTGGGTTTGAACTTAAAACTCAGAGATCAAGAGTCACATCCTCTACCAATGAGCCAGCCAGGCACCACTCAGGGGCAGTTTTAAAGGCTACACCCATAACAAACTAAGACAACTCCCAGAGTTTTATAACGTAGCCAATACTGAATGGGTTTTGAATGAGTGTTTTAAATATTGAATGCATTTTTTTACCAACAATTAAACTGTTTTTGATTGTTCCCTAGTTATGTCATGACAGTACTCTATACTCTGATTCATCATTAAAGCTCTCTGCCAGCCCATCTTCAGGAGATGTGTCATCAGATATGAACATACAAGATTTAAACAAAGAACTTTGCTTTCAATGGTACATTCCTCCTCTAGAAAGACCCCCAAAGGAAACAGAACCTATGGTATGTAATACAATCACAAAACTAACTCTTATATTTAGATATAGAGTTTAACTTGACCATTATAACTTGAAAGTGGAGAACATCCTCTTGTCATATAGATGAAAATATACAGGAATATGGTATCTGTATTGTCTAGTAGAATGGATCTGAAAATAAGAAATCAGGAAAGTCTGATTCAAGTTGATCATTTTCTTTTTCCTGATTTTCAAGGGAAACTTTCAAGTGTGTCACCATAATATATGATGTTTAACTTTTTTTGTAGTCATTCCTTATCACATTAAGGAAATTTTTTTCTACTGCCCACTTCGCTAAGAATTTTTATCATAACTCTTTTACTGCATCTATAAAGATGATTTTATGATTCTTCTCTTTTACTATATTAATTGATTTTTAAAAAGTTTTTTTCCATTTTATTTATTTGAGAGCAAGCGAGCAGGGGAGAGGGATAAAGTGGGAGAGAGGGAGAATCTCAAACAGGCTGCACACTCAGCACATTGCCCGACACCAGGCTCAATCCCAACACACTGAGATCATGACCTGAGCTGAAATCAAGAGTTGGAAGTTCAACTAACTGACCCACCCAGGTGCCCCAATTGATTTTTTAAATGTTAAATCAATCTTGTGTTCCTAAGATAAACTCGAATTGGTCTTGTATTAATTTTACTGGATTCAGTTTGTTAATGTTTCGTGTTGGATTTTTGCCACTGTTTAAGAGCAATATTGGGCTACAAATTTTCCTTTTTATACTGTCTTTGTCAGATATTTTTTGTAACAAGATTTTTTTAGACTCATAAAGTGAGTTGATAAATATAATCATGTTTTTCTATTCTCTGGTGACATTTCTGTAAGTTTGGAGTAAACTTTTCTCCTCAAATATTTGGTAAGAACTCATCAGTAAAGCCATCTGGTCCTAGTGGTTTGTTTCTTTGTGAGAAAATATAAAACTAGTAATATTATTCTATGGATACCATAGTTGGCATCAGTTCTGATTGGGTCACTATTGTTCTAATGGTTTGTGCTTGTGTCAAACCAAGTTTTATTTATTTTTTTATTTTTATTTTTATTTTTTATTTATATATGAAATTTATTGTCAAATTGGTTTCCATACAACACCCAGTGCTCATCCCAAAAGGTGCCCTCCTCAGTACCCATCACCCACCCTCT